ATAAAGCTGTCCATTCGTTGGTGTACTAGGTACGACTGCGGGAGTGCTGGTCCTGAGTGTGTGCATCTTCCGGAGTCGCGATACTTTGATTGGTGCGGCCGAGATCCTGCCGACTTGATTCATCAACTACACGGCTTAGGCGGGCAAGACGCGCTAGGGATCGTCCCGTCTGCCACCTCCACTGCCCGATCCACCGTCTTGGCTACTCACAATGTCCACAGCATCAGCGCTGCCAGGCTGTCGTCTTTGTGGAGTGGCAATCTGCCCACGTCCACCACTACCTTCTGTGACTGCAACGCCACCATTGCCTTCACCACGCCTTGCTTCCACATCCACACCACACGTTACCACGCCACAACCATCGTGATTTGCAGCTCGGCGGTGGCCAACACCAGCTCCAGGAGCAGATAGTTCAGCGACAGAGTACTGCATGGTCGTAACGGCTTGGTTGAGGTTACGAGAAGCTCCGGATTGTACACCTTCAGCACCACCGCCATCGTCATTCACACCAACGCCACCATCTTGTATGGCTACTTGCTCTTCGCAGCCGCGCAACCCCCGGCGCGCTCGAAGATCACCTCTAGTTTGGAATTCCTTCCGGCCGCTTGTTGTGGACTTACCACGGTCACTATAAGCACCATCGGCACGACGGGCGTGGTCTCTTGGAGCTACAGATAAAATATTTTGAGTACACATATCAACACAGCGTACTCTGCAGAGCTACTAGTCATACTCATACCACGAGTGAGGGATACACCACCAATGTTGTTGCGTTTCGAGCGTGCGACTAAGTCCTGTGCGTTGTCAGCTACAGCCGCTACTCCAGATCCATCTCTGCACCATTCGTCGTGGTCGGCATTGAATGCAGTCACTTAAGCAGTGTGAGAAGCATGATCATCTGCATGTTCCTGTCCGCCGACATCTTGTACGACACCAGGGCTACCTACAACAACGGCAGTTATATGTTTTGAGGCAACATCATTGTTGTAAACGCTGGAGAGTAGGTATTACTCACAATGTTGTACGAAGTGCCACAATACTTCTTCTTCCCCAAGCAGGTAATCAACGCCAGCTCTTCCGCTACCAGTACAACCGGGGAGGACATACCGATATCGATCGTCGAGGCCACTTGGAAGCTTGGACGTCCACCCAGCTGCCTTTAGCTCTCTCCACACACCGTTAAAGTCCAGCGTCGATGACAATTTGGTAGCGTCGTCGTTGAGGGCTTGGCCCCGCCGAAGCCGCTGCTTTCTTGCAGGTTGATCTTCTGCGAGCGCGCGTTTTCGCGGCATGGGCTCAAGGCGTCAAATCAGGAAATGAACGGCTCCTGTATCTCTTATAATAGTATTTTTTATTGAAATGCAAAAACGCTTGGTTTGCAACCTAATCCGGCATCTTATATGCATGTGATTTTGTTGAATATAGATTTCTGTGATGGGATGAGTCTCAGCTGCAACTGGCTATCACTGGCTCCGAGAGCAGACTGCTCGACGGCTCGATCAGAACGATGCATACTGAGGCCAAGATAGATACTCGGCTCGCGGATCTCGTACAAATCACATATCGGATATCAATGGTGCGGAAACGTATGAGATGGGAATTTAACGTTAGGAACTTGAATTTTTTTACTGCTCTGATTGGCCGGGCTCCGCCAATCGGTGGAGCACCTTTATTTTGACGAATCAGCGACGCGGCTGCTGTGGCTGCAAAACGCGGCAAAATGCCACGTTCTATAAGCAATCTATCGTGTTTTGAAACAGTCTGTTTTGAACGGAGTGCGCATCCCCACCTCAAAACGCGGCATTTTGCCGCGTTTTACAAAAGTTTAGCATAGTCGCCAAGTTTTGCGATCACGAAAGGGTTAATACTTAGTATTCCGATAGGGAATTTGGTTTCAGTCCTGATGCTGTGTAACATGAAAATACACCAGTATGCTAAAAAGTTCTGGTTCAACGAAGGATATATTAGAGAGCTTATTAATGGCTTCTCGACTACCGGTAACTCAAGACTTTGGAGCAACAATTGTCTGAAAAAGGATCAAGGCCGATGGTCCATTAATATATTCCAGTGGAACATTGAGAACCTTCGTTACACGTATTCCACTGAAGGGGCATCCATTGATTTTCTTTTTCGCGCTATTCCAACAACTAAAGCTCTCTATTTCTTTTTCAGTGGCAATGTGCCACACGAGCTCGGATAAACGTGTACAGTAGACGGCAATGGTGTCTGACAGGCTAATTGAGAAGAGATATCTGCATTACTATAATGGCGATAGTAACTATCCCCCAGAAATTAGAATTTTGAGAGCTAAAGAGAGTAAGAGGGAATACCAGGATATTTTTTCTCTGAAATTTATACCACGAGATCTGACAGAGGATCCAAGAACAGCTGGTACATGTATTGTAATTTATCGACAATCTAATTTGTTGCTGAAGCCGGTAGAAATTGGTAATGGAGTCGGTTTCAGCAAATTAACAGTCAAACAAAATTCAGGATGAGAACAGTGGCGTTGCGAATGTGGTTTATTTTTAGTTGATT